CGGATGATTGTAACCACTCTAAGTTCGTCTGCCTTGGGAAAGCTAGCGTGTCTCCGACATAGTGATAACACTCGCTGCCTTCTCTAGTGCAGCTCAACCAGGTCTCGTCCCAAATCCCAAATCACGGAAAATATGCGTTGTAGTCCGAACGAGTCGTTCGTTATAGTTTTTTAAAAGTGATTTCTGTTAAATAAAATATCTCCTTTTGAAGTGGACTTTGAGCTTTGTAACTTTGCAGATCTTTTTTATGCTCAAACAGCAACATTACAGACTAACTAAAGTTAAAAAAGTGAAAAAGCATAATAGGACCCCTTTAAACTCTTTTCTATTTTAATACATTTTAAAATGTAATTATTTCTGTGATGCAAAGCTGAATTTTCAGCAGCTATTACTCCAGTTGTCAGTGTCTCATGTTCCTTTAAAAAAATCATTCTAATATGTTGATTTGCGGTTCACGTGACTTTTTATTATATATAGGATGTAAAAATCTGTAAATATTTTAAAGGGTAAAATTTTAATAATTGTAATATCTACAATGTCTTCATGGTATGTAGTCTATAAACACATTTACAAAACTGCTTATAACAAAAATATCTGTAATTTGGCCTATATTTTATTACTCCCGTAATATATTTAATAGGCCCAACATGTCTACATTAATATAATAAAATTCTACATGAATATCCTACATTTCTGCCACAATACCTCCGTTAGTGGTACAGTTAGTGTTACAACAGTAAATCCATTGTAAATGTTGGTGATTTAAAAGTATTCTAACTTGATTATCACAATATTTCTCCAGTTTTTCCACGTCAGTGTTGTTGAGAATGTTAGCGCTGTTTCATTTGGCTTTAAACTACTTCAAAATTCAATTCAATTCAAGTTTATTTGTACAGCGCTTTTCACGATACAAATCATTGCAAATTAACTTTACAGCAAATTAAGTTTCTACAATATTTAGTGGTAGCTTATCAGTGGTGACTGTCAGTTAATGTACATATGGCAGAAATGTACGGAAAAATCAATTAAAGACGTAATCAAACAGACGATGAACACTATTAACAGCAATTATTATATGATGCAATCAAACTTATAGCAAAATGTGGTAGTTCTGTATGTTGTTTCAGGGTTGGCATCATCTGAGGTCCTCTGAAGGGTTGGCATCATCTCGCAAAAACAGAGAAACAAATAGAGACATAATAAGCGTAGCTGCTGTTCCAACCAAGCAAAAATGATTTGTTTAACCCAAACTAAAGAATAATAATGTGCATTTGATCAGATATAACTGCAGTACAAGATTATGAGATACATTTTTTGAATGCTTGTCCAAAGAGATGTGTCTTTAATCTAGATTTAAACAGAGAGAGTGTGTCTGAACCCCGAACATTATCAGGAAGGCTATTCCAAAGTTTGGGAGCCAAATGCGAAAAAGCTCTACCTCCTGTAGTGGACTTTGCTATCCTAGGTACTACCAAAAGTCCAGAGTTTTGCGACCTTAGGGAGCGTGATGGATTGTAGCGTCTGTAGAAGACTAGTTAGGTACGCAGGAGCTAAACCATTAAGGGCCTTATAGGCAAGTAATAATATTTTGTAACTGATACGGAACTTAATAGGTAGCCAGTGCAGAGACTGTAAAATTGGGGTAATATGATCATATTTTCTTGACCTGGTAAGGACTCTAGCCGCTGCATTTTGGACCACCTGTAGCTTGTTTATTGAAGATGCAGGACAACCACCTAGCAGTGCATTACAATAGTCCAGTCTAGAGGTCATGAATGCATGAACTAGCTTTTCTGCATCAGAAACAGGTAACATATTTCGTAACTTGGCAATGTTTCTAAGATGGAAGAATGCTGTTTTTGTAACATGGGAAATATGATTTTCAAAAGACAAGTTGCTATCTAATATAACACCCAGATTTTTGACTGTAGAGGAAGTAACAGTACATCCGTCTAGTTGCAAATTGTAATCCAAGAGATTCTGTGTACTGTCTTTTGGTCCAATAAGTAATATCTCTGTCTTATCCGAATTTAATAGGAGAAAATGATTGGTCATCCAATCTTTTACATTTTTAACACACTCTGTTAGCTTAGATAATTTAGAAGTTTCATCTGGTCTTGTTGAGATATATAGTTGAGTATCATCAGCATAACAGTGGAAACTAATCCCGTATTTTCTAATAATATTACCAAGGGGCAACATGTATATCGAAAATAGCAGAGGACCTAGGACAGATCCTTGTGGCACTCCATATTTTACTGGTGATAATCGAGATGACTCCCCATTTAAATGAACAAAATGGTAGCGATCGGACAGGTAGGATCTAAACCATCTTAAAGCCTGCCCTTGAATACCTGTATAGTTTTGTAATCGATCTATGAGTATGTCATGATCTATAGTGTCGAACGCAGCACTAAGATCAAGTAAAACTAGCAATGAGATACAGCCTTGGTCTGACGCAAGAAGCAAGTCATTTGTAATTTTAACAAGTGCAGTTTCTGTGCTATGGTGGGGCCTGAAACCTGACTGAAATTCTTCATAGAGATAATTTTTTTGCAGGAAGGAGCACAGTTGAGCAGACACAACTTTTTCTAAAATTTTAGACATAAAAGGAAGATTTGAGATGGGTCTGTAATTTGCCAGTTCACTAGGATCTAGTTGTGGTTTCTTAATAAGAGGCTTAATAACCGCCAGCTTGAATGGTTTTGGGACGTGACCTAAAGACAACGACGAGTTAATAATATTGAGAAGCGGTTCTTCTGCTACAGGTAACAACTCTTTCAGTAATTTAGTGGGTACAGGATCTAACAGACATGTTGTTGGTTTAGATGCAGTGATAAGTTTATTTAGCTCTTCCTGTCCTATAATTGTAAAGCACTGCAGTTTATCTTTTGGTGCGATGAATGAAGCTGAAGTATTATACGGGCATCATCTCTTCTCAGGTGTTCTGGATCCAGACTGAAGCTTGTGTAAATCCTAGTTGACATCCCGTGGCAAAAACAGAGAAACAAATAGAGACATAATTGCTGCTGTTCCAACAAAGCAAAATTTATTTGTTTATTTGTTTAACCCAAACTAAAGAATAATAATGTGCATTTGAGCTTTGTAAAAATCGACGCGTTTCAAAAAGGCGGGGCATAGAGGAGAAACAATAATGTACAGTATGTGGAAAATAATGTTGTTTTTTTTTACTTTAAACCGCATAAACACATTTCATTACACCAAATACACAAAATAATGTTCTTTTTAGCAGCATCATATGACCCCATTAAGCGAAAATTGCACTCAATATTAGTGCCAAACATATTGGTGTGAACAGGCCTTAAATTAAGGTGATCTGGGTACTGTGAAATAATGTCAAGACAACACATCTTCCTTTTGCATTATATTTTCTGGATGGATTCAGAAACATATAACTCATTATTTAACTCATTATACCAACATTTGGGTTGGTGTTAAAGAATTGTGTTATAATAACCCCTACAAATATAACTCATTATATACACTATAAATACTTTAAAGGTGACAGACATGTAGATGTTTGTGAAAGATGTTTTCTCTGTTTTAGAGGGATGATTATTTTGAAATCATACCCTATTTATTGCATCAAAATTTGTTAATACTTTACTATATTTAAGGGTGGATAATTTTATCAGTTGTTTATTGCAACAATACATAATTACAATAACTTTGTTTAGTGCTCTTTTGAAAGTTTATAGCATGATTTGTGAAAATTTAACTATACTGAATGACATAGCATAGACTTCTTCATGGCTAGTTTTTGTGTATTTCTTTTCATTCTGTAACCTACTTGTTCTACATTTTGAGACTTTAGTCTTTGCAACTAACCAGATCTTCTTTATGCACCAAGAGCTTGTAACACTCCAAAGAGAAATCGCATCATATGACCCCGATGGTGAGTAGGGCACAATAGAGATTATGCTGCGAAACCACCGATATGAATAAGAACAGTGCGCTGTAAAGACAGAAGGAAAACGAAACTTTTCCAACTCATTGTTTTTCAGCTTTATTATGCATGCAAATGATTTACTCTAACGATTAATGGTTGGTTAGCTACCGTTTTTGTGCCTCATCCCCACCCGCAGAGCGCGCTGTTCATTCGGTAACATACATGGTAAAAGCCCCCCCATCAATGTGATAAAAATAGCTTCAAGCTTCATCCGATTCATTCACTTTTCATCGCTTTTGGAAGATGGCACACTACACGTGTGAGGAAGCTCTTGGGACGGTCCTGGACAGCGAGGAAGAATTCACCTTTTCCTCAGAAGAGGAGCAGGAGTCCAATGATGAATGGTCGCATTTTGAAGAGCGACTTGATCCAGCCGAGGATGTCCTTTCTGATGAGTAAGTCATTCATACTTTTAGTTGTCATGTCATTTTTAAATAATCATGCACATATTTTACTAGTTTACTATATTTTGAGTAATATATGTCTGTCATGGATATAAGTTAGGACATAATATAACTCGTCGTTACATCTAAATGTTGTACAAAACGAGTAACTTTTGTGCTGTATAATAAACTATTGTTCGGTTTGAGATCAGTGTTTTTTTTTTTTGGTTAATCAAGGATGCATTAAATTGATCAAAATTGGCAGTGAAGATGTTACTAAATGTCCATTTCAAATAAATGCTATTCTTTTGAGCTTTCTATTTATTAATCAGAAATGTATCACTGTTTGAACTAAAAGTAAGTAGTGCTGATAATAAGAAAGGTTTCTTGAGCACCAAATCAGCATATTTGAATGATTTCGAAAGGATCATGTGACACTGAAGACTGAAGTAATGGCTGCTGAAAATTCAGCTTTGCCAGAATAAATTATATTTTAGAATAAATAGAAATTTTAAATTATAATAAAATTTCACAATATTACTGTTTTCACTGTAGTTTTGTTTAAATAAATGCAGCCTTGGTGAGCATAAGAAATCCCACATTTTTGAAAGGTAGTGTATATTGATATAAATAAGAAATAATTATTTACACTTTACTGTAAAATAATGCCGTATCAATTTAGCTTATTTGTGAATATCTGATCAGCCATTAATGTTTTTAGGTTGCTATAAATGTGCATGTGTTTTTGTTATGAGTGCAATATTAGCGATTAGTCATGTTAAAAAAAATAGCTTTGATCCTGTTATCATCATGCTCACAGGTTTGTTTGTTTGTTTTTTTATAAAACAGAAATGAGGAGAACGACAGTGACCACCAGATGCCTGTTGCAAAGAAAGCCAGGACAAACAAGCAGTCTGCTCTGACATGGAAAACAGAGACTGAAGTCGACTTGGTTCCACAGACTCTGAGATTCGTGCCCGCACGCGATCCCGGACCGCAGCTGTGGTCAGCTGACTCGTACACTCCCCTCAGTCTCTTCAAACTCTTTTTCTCTGAAAGCGCTGTCTCAACTCTATGCTACAACACAAATGCCCAGGTCGCCAGGTCAATTGAAAGGGGTCGCAAATACAGGTGGACAGATGTCAGTGTTAGCGAATTGTACCGTTACTTTGGACTCATATTCTACATGGGCATGGTGAAGTTGAGCTCCATCAATGACTACTGGCGGCAGGACAGTCTTTGCTCTGTGCCTTTTCCCGCCACAATCATGTCAAGGGACAGATACCGCACCATTTCATGGAATATGCACATGAGTCACCCAGCTGCGGACAAGGAGAATGACAAAAAGAAGGGCACAGATGAATATGACTGGCTTTTCAGGGTCAAACCCCTCATGGACACGATCCGTCTTGCGTGCAAAACTATTTATCATCCTAGAAGAAATTTAGCTGTGGATGAAAGAATGGTGGCATGCAAAGCCAACACAGGAATGACACAGTACATGAAAGCCAAGCCAACCAAGTGGGGCTTCAAGCTGTTTGTCCTCGCCGACTCATCAAATGGATATACTGTTGACTTTTCTGTGTACACAGGAAAAAACAATGTTGCCACAGGCAATGGACTGCCATATGATACTGTGATGTCTCTCATGGACAAAAAACTTTTGGGATCTGGGTACCATGTGTACATGGACAATTTCTACACAAGCCCAAAGCTCCTAACAGACGTGATAGACATGAGGTATGGCGCTTGTGGGACTTACAGAGACTACAGGAAGAATAGCCCACAAAATGCAGCTAATTCACTGACTAAAAATTCCCCCAGGGGATCCATTAGATGGATTCGCAATGGTCCGCTTGTGTTTGTGAAGTGGATGGACACACGAGAGGTGTCTGTGTGTTCCTCTATTCATCCTGCCTACACAGGAGACACCGTGCAGAGGAAAGTGAAAACACAAGATACATGGAGCTTAAAATCTTTCCCCTGTCCCGCACCTGTTACTGCATACAACCAATACATGGGGGGCGTTGACTTGTCCGATCGGCTGTTGCAATACTACACCGCACAGCACAAAACCTTGAAGTGGTACAGAAAGATCTTCCTACACTTCTTGGACATTGCTGCCACCAACTCTTTTACAGTTCACAAAGAGCTATATGGCAACATGACCTACAAGGAGTTTATGGAGCAGCTTATCTCAGAGCTCTGTGGCGTGTCACCGAAAATCCCACAGAAACAGGCCAGCAGTGACCATGTGCCCGTTCCAGGAGCTCCGCTGAGCACTGATACCAGGAAAGTTGCCTCTAGTGGTCGGCGAATCTGTGTGCACTGTAAAGCAGCGCATGGAAAGAAGCAGCAAACTCCTTGGAAATGCCAGGCGTGCGATGTGCACTTGTGTCTTCAGTTGACCAGGAACTGTTTCCAGGAATGGCACAAAGCTCTGTGACTGTGTTCAAAAATGTGGTTTTGGCCTTCTGTCTTTTATTTTATCTGTCTTTCTGTCCGTCTGCATTGTTGTACACTGTTGTAAATAAACTGCAAACAAAAACATTTTCTTTTAAGTCTTCTCACATTTTTTTTTGGTTTCCTCAGTCGCATCCCACATTGATAGGTCTTTACCTTTACCTACCTGATGTGAAATACATCAAAACAGTGAAAAAAGTGTCACGCATACACTACCGCTCAAAAGTTTGGGATCAGTAAAACTAGTAATGTTTTTTAAAGAAGTCTCCTATGCTCATCAAGGCTGCATTTTTTTTTTTTTTTATCAAAAATGCAGAAAAAACAGTAATCTTGCTAAATGTTATTACAATATAAAATAATGGTTTCTATTTTAATATACTTTAAAATATAATTTATTTCTGTTATGCAAAGCTGAATTTTCAGCAGCCATTACTCCAGATGCTGATTTATTATTAGAATTATCAATGTTGGCAACAGTTGTGCTGCCAAATATTTTTTTTGGAAACTGCGATACTTTTTTCAGGGTTCTTTGATGAATAAAAAGTTTAAAAGAACAGCATTTGTTGTTTCCAAAAAATATTAAGCAGCACAACCGTTTCCAGCACTGATAATAAATTAGCATATTCAAATAATTTCTGAAGGATCATGTAAAAACATTACAAGTCTTACTGATCCCAAACTTTTGAGCGGTAGTGTAAGTTAAATGTTTTGTTTTATGTGAATGAAAGGACAAGATGATTTTCACAACATGTAACAGGCTCTGGTCTATGAAATCCAGTAATAAAAACTATATATATATATATTTATATATTAAATTATTCCAATATGCTGATCTGGTGCTCAAGAAACATTTCTCATCAACGCTGCTTAAGTTCTCACAAATCTGTTTTTTTGGGGGGTTTTTTCTTTGCTTTGTCAATCAGTTTAATGGAGTGTAGATTTGGAAAAAAAATATTCAGTATCCTATCTGACTGGATGTTCTTGTGATGCATTTACATTTCTTATTTTATACTTCTGTAGAAAACACTGTTGTTCTTTACATTATTTCTTAATGTTTTAGTTGTTTTATTTGTCTGTGACAATTGTGTATGGCTGCCTATAAGGCCTATATAGAAATAAAATCTTTAAAAGATCTAAAATGTTGTAATTGTATTTCTCATAGACTTTCACTCACGAAGTGAACTTAAAGGGCTCCATCCATAAGCTGTGCAGCAACAGCTGCTTTAACCAGTTCCGCTCCTCCAATAAACTGACTATGAACAGCTGTGTCAACTGTGGAGGATATTGCAATGGCACAGACAGTCAGTGTCCATCTCTGCAGATAGAGGGCAGTCTTATGAAGTTCTGCAAACAAAACTGCCTCATAGGCTTCAAAAAGGTAATGTCAAATGAATAACTAAATAATGGTCAGTTAATTTGTTGAAAGTCATTATTAAATACATTGATCTTTCTTTGTAGAAAAGTTTGAAACCTGTCACCTGCAAAATTTGCCGTACCATGCGCCCGGTTGCAGAAATGGTGGATAGTCCGAATACAGAGGGAATCAGGGAGCTTTTCTGTTCAACTTCCTGTGTCACAGCGAATAAGGTTCAGACTGTCAGTTCTTCAGGTAACATAACCAGTTGTTCACCAAGATGCCGCATTCTTAATGATCTTCTCTTTTTTTTTTATATAAAGTATACTCAAATGTCCTTTTTGTCTGCATGTTAACAAGGTGCTCCAGTGGAATGCAACAGCTGCAAGCTTAAACTAGTGCCTCAGTACCATCTAGCCATGTCTGACGGAACCATCCAAAACTTCTGCTCCTTTTCATGTGTAGTATCATATCAGGTAGAGTTTACTGATCTCTCTAATTCAAAGGGGACATCGGATGCAAAATTCACTTTTACATGGGGTTTGCATATAAATGTGTCTTAGCATTGTGTGGACACAACCACCCTACAATAATAAAACATCCATTTGCTCCTTTTTTTTTTAATCCCCCAAAAAATCTAAACACTCTCTATGGACTATATGCATAGTTACTTCCTGGTTTTAGATAAGCCAGCTCAGTCATTTCTGGTCAACTGTCAAGATGTCTACATAATCCATTCTCAATTTGAAGAAAAGTGTTGTCTAAGAGGACCAAACGTCCATGTATACAGTTTCAGGAATGACAAACCTGAGTGTAAAAAATGAAGCGAGTGAATCCACTAAATTGTGATGCAAGTCATTGCTATGATTGACAGTGATAGCTGTAGCAATGGATGGAGCAAAACATCTGACAAGCCGATGTCAGAAGCAAAGCTGTGCATTAAGTAATTCAGACTAAATTCAGAGTAACAAAACTAGCAGCAAGTCTGTGTTGGATGAATGTATTTAGCAGCTTCTACAGTTAAAGATAAAACAATGTAATTTTTAAATTAAATCTAAAAAAATTTTTTTTTAAATGTAATGCATTATATAATTGTTATACCATTAATAATTAACTTATTTAATTTGTAGTTAAATAATTAACCCTTCTAGGCTGGGCTTAATTTCTTTTTTAAATGACATGAGACTTTGTGACTTCCTGCACTTGCTATACTTTATACTTCAGTACAGTAAAAGTATTAAAACTTGTTATACATTCGTGGCCAAAAGTTTTGGCATTGACATAAATTTTGTGTTTTGCAAAGTTTTCTGCTTCAGTGTTTGTAGATTATTTTCCCACATGTTTCTATGGTATACTGAAAAACA